TGTTTTCACATCACAGACACAAAACACCTTTCGCATCCTTCAACCTGTTGTTGCCACGCTGTCAGACCTCGTGGCAAATCCCCAGCTTGTAAATATCACAGTTGAAATAAACATCCTCGCGCCGATAAATCTCTATGCAAATAAAACAAGAGTCGCGCGGTGCAACCGCAGAGACTTTATGTGTTTTATTGATCTCTAAAGAATCATCCCACAGGGACTCCAGACTTTGAAGCATATTGGATGATTGTGATTTACTATTTTCCTTTCTTTATCCTTATTTAAATAAATTATTTTTAACTGACATTTCGCTAAAGGGGGGCGTTAATTTCACGTTGAGCGCTGGTTTGGAGCCAGTTATTGAATAATTTATTCCTCGTAGTTTACGACTGAGCTTCCCCTCAGGCGTTCCAACAGATCTCGCTGGATTGACTCTGGAGAAGGGAGAAGAAAAGAACAGCGCTTCCTGTGAGCCATTACCTCTGAGTATGTGGTTATTAATCCAGACAATAAAGGCTTTAGCTCTCAGAATGGATGTTGTACATTTACAGTGTGGGCTGTTAGCTTCAGAGAGAGACTTACAACTGCTGTGCAGGAAAATGGTCTGGAAACAGTGAGCGCTAACAGTGGTAACTATATATCTTATTTACCGGTGGTGCAGAAAATATTATAGATCTTGTCACAGTGGTGGAAAGTAACTAAATACAATTACTCTAACAGTCAAAGTAAATATTTATCCTTCACTTCTTTGATTGAATTACTTTTTTTTTACCAGATACTTAGATTAAAAATTATCCATAATAAGTGAAAGTTGTTTTTATTAACATTATTGTATAAGTATTATTAGCAAAAGGAACTGAAACTGTTCATTATTCAGAAAATAATATAAATGTGAGAGTTATATTATACAATATCATACAATTATTACTTTATTATTAAAGCCGTGCAACTAACATTGTCCAGTTTTAGGAGATAGTACCACTGAGCTCATGTCCATGTCACTACAACAGCAAAATGAAATATGTCTTTGTCTGAATTGAAGTAGAGTGGAAGTCTAAAGTAAAGGGAAGTTGAACTTCATTTAAAATGTGATCACTTCCACATTTACCAAACTGAGTGATAAACAAACTGAGTCACATTCCAACTCTGTCATCAACACATCAAAGTCTGACAAATACATTTAGAAAATACTGAAATAACATTCTCCATAATATAATGTCTTCGTATTGTTTACATTGTGCTCCTATTACCAGAAATCAGCTGTCATAAGAGAAGTCACATTCCTCTGGTTTATTTTTTCTGTCTTGTAACCTAAACTACATCATCTCATCTCATCAACATTTAAAATACTTCAACTTCCTCCGGCCTCGGCGCAGAGCAGGGCCCCTGGAACCAGGCCCTAATCTGGATTGGCAGTCATATGGTTGCAGTTATCCTGCTTTAGCTGTTTTGTATTACGCATAATAAGGGCCATCAAATGCCGGTAAATGCAAGATACCACTGGTAGACCCTCCTCTGAGAACCTTTCACATGTGACAGTTTAACAATTACATGTAAATCAGAGGAGGGAGGAATGTAAAAAGTTGAAACAAATGTTTTTGGACCAGATCAGATGAAAGTTTAACGATCGCTTCGGGGGGAAATTCATGCTGTTACAGGCGCGAGGCTGAGCATCAAAGATAAACTCAAAACAACAAGTAAACACCACTTAAGTACACGAGACCAGATGAATAAATGAAGGGGGCAGATTGGAAGTAGCTGCAGAAGTGTGTGTTTTTAGCATTTCACAGTTTTCTGGCTTGAAGTCTGTTTTGGTTTTGAGTAACTCATTGATTTCCCATAGTAATGTATTTGCATAATGTGCATATTTAGTACCCAAGACCATTTGCCTCATCCAAAGTCTATACTTCTAAACATTTATTAACTGCATTTCAAACTAGTCACAAATTAGAGCACGTACCTCTGCCAAAGCCCAACATTCGCTTCAAATTCAATCAATAAATTCACACACTCACAGATATCAGTTCACTAAATATACCAGATTTTACAAAGATCCAAGAATTACACCCTCGAAACATAAAGGGGCCAATTATACGTCTGACATCCATGATTCAATAAGGTGCATGTTACATGTTTACTGCTCTATAGCTTTGAGTAAAGCCACACATCATTGGATATATGTTGAAAACCGTTCCTTGTTCAAGCACATTGTGTTCTTCAAAAACTTTCTTAACAAATTGTCGTATCTACTGTTTGTTGCCAATCAGATTTCAGCCCAGCCCCTTCTGTCTTGACCCACACTCTGTCCTCCCACCAACTTTTTTTTTGTGGAAATCTGTTCAGCAGTTTTTGCATAATCCTGCTGACGATTCATCAAACAACCAAACGGACAGAGGCCAAAACATAAACTGCTTGACAGAGGTGATTATTCATTTTTAGAAATGGGATCGCTAGAAACCTACAAAAAGATTCTTTCATAAATACGGCAACTTTTACAACACATATCCGTATCATTTAATATTCAACGTGAATATTTTTATTTTATTAAAACAAACTCGTGTTTCACTTTTAGGCCACTGTCACTATGAAGGTAGCACATCGCAGCTGTAATTTAATAATGAGAGATGTGTCAGGTAATTCAGCAGTAAACTGAAGCATGAGGGTGTGTTTGGATTTCTGAAGAGTGTAATTAAACACACACACCCTGCACACAGTTGATTTAACTCTTTATTCAAACCTGTTAACTGGGTTCATTCTCTTTCCCTTTTTTTTATGATTTAATCATTTGGCAAAGTGTTTATCTGACCTGGTGTTGGAGTCGCAGCAGAATCTCTGCACCACTGAACGGTTTGTTCTTGGTTGAACGGATGGAAGTGTGTGTACTCAGTGAGATTACTTTTACTCTTTAGTTTGGGCCATGTCCCATCTGCTAACATGGAGGAGGTGTTGTTTGTGACCTATTACTGAAACTAGCCACTTGGCAGCGATCCAGGTTGGTGCAGCATGCAGACGGCAGGACATCACGTTAGACGCAAAACAACAAAAACAACAAAAAGAAAATAAATATCTCGCAGACGAGAGTTTGTGGTGATAAGCGCAGACACCGGTGATCACGTGATCTCCGCATCGGAGTGAATTCGTCACTTCCTGCTCTCGCCCGAATAACGCGCAGGATTAGTTGCTGGTGTGAACGCGTGCGTCTGTGCAGAGAACTCTGGGTAAACTCTGGAGCCAGTTCTCCAGACTTTACCCAGAGGTCTTTGTCTGAAAGCGGTTTAGTCGGTGGAAAGTCCGTAGAAACCGCCGAGCGTCTCACTCGGAAGTTTTAAGTTCACACATGCACGTCTTCTGGTGAGAGTTCAGAGGACGTCTGTAAGCAGGGGATGATATTTGGGATGGGGCCCCTAGCCCATGCAAAGGGGGCTGGGGGGGGG